ATCCATAAAAGCCACCATCAACACCAAGCCACCATCACAGTGCCCAGTAGAGGAGATTTTAGCAAGGAAGATGACGATAATCAGCCAACAACCAACACAGGAATACTTGGTAAGATGCAAAGGTTTGGGGGTCATATGGGATCACTTAGGAGAAAAAAGTCGATATCAGCGCCTTCCTATAAAAAATTGAGAAATTCTAAGCTAACCAGTCAACAAGGAGATCGACAGATTGAGTGAGGTAAGATGTCATGAGCCAACCTTGTATCAGATTATGATAGGGCAGAATTGTTTAAGAGATTGAGTTTTTTATACTTGTAAGGGAAATATCCCCCTTTCGAACATTGTAATGGCTTGTAGGACATCTTTGGAAATACTTATTAAATCTTCAAGGGGAAAACCCCTTTAGAAAAGGAATATCCTCTTTTCAAGCATTGTAATTGCCATTGGTAGAATACTTATAAAATCTCACAAACTCTTTATAAGGGCTGAGTAGTCGACAGATTGTTGGACTGCCTCACTAGTAAATGTATGTATGTAGCGAACCATTTAGGGCTACTCTTATGGCCTGACAATGGTGCGTCTTAGTCCCTTTGTATTCATTTTTATATTAATAAAATATTTTTCTTTATATGGCTCTAGTGGTTGCACGTATGGCATTTGGTATGCCTTATTATGTTGATGTGCGTTGCCTTAATCTAAATTGTGGCTATTGTTGATGTTTATTTAAATCTAGACGAGTTATTGGTTGGCTTGCATAGAAATGTCCATTCAAGTACAGCACAGACTATCGCATACTTAAGCAAAGGAGTGTAGTCCGTGACGTGTGGCCTCGACAATTAATTAGTAGATATCGTAATTGCTGTAGGATTACTGTAGTGCTTCAAATTTGATAAGATTTTTGACTACCTTTTAAGCCATATTAGGCAAAGTGGTAAACATGAAAGTTGAAATGGTTTCTCTTAGCTTTTCAATGGTCTAAGAATAATCTTATTTGAAGTTTTGTAGAGAGAGTTATGGTTGAAATACCAAGATATGTGCAGTGAAAATCTACATCTCAAAATTGCTCTCTTGCTTCCTTTAGAATTCTTCCTTCATTAAACACCTATAAAAGCACAACTAAATCAATAACAACTTCTCTTAATCACATTAACACTAAATTAAATATAAAATTAAATAATATTAGACTGACTTACCTAAATTAATTAATTTAAAATAATTTAAATAAAGCCTACTAATTTCTATGCATTACCACAAGATCTGAGCTAAATTACTATCAAAATTAAGGCCAAATAACTCTATATAATAGAGTTATCACACCCCAAAACTTAATATTTTACTAGTCCTTAAGAAAAACATTAAAAATAAACTAACTTACGAAAGTTAATTTCAAATGGTGAAAACAAAATAAATATAGTTACTTCTATTAGTTATAAAGTGCACCAACTTGATGATTCTTCATAATTTCCTCAAAAGTATGTCTATCAATCACTAACTTAAAGGAAATTATACGCATGATTCAATTTCATGTTTCAATTCCAATGCAAGCACATTCTCGACTGGATTTTCGTGTGTGTGTGTGTGTGTGAATTCTTTTCTCAAGAATATCATGACATCCAGATGAGTTTATGGCAACACACATTTCAAATTAGTTAGACCAAGAAATCTTGTTTCTTGCTTTGTTCTTGGCTCCTTTTCTCCAAAATAGATGGTTGCTGCCTCTCCCTTAAAACCTCTAAAAAGGGTCCCTTAAATAGACTGCAAGTAACCTAATTTCCAAAATCTCATCAAATTTTTATTTTTAGAAAATCGTCAAGCGTTGCAGCCACATATTTTAGTGCCGCAACATTCTACCCTCGAGAAAATGTGCGGTGCACTTTCTTCCATCAGTGTTGTAGCCTTGTTCTCCTATGTGCTGCAACCTTGGCTTCCTCGGCACTGCAGCCTTGACTAACTCCAAGCCATGGCCTTCTTCCACCTATTGCCTTGTGCAAAACTATAGAAGTTGAGCATTGTCCAATGTGAGTTTTACCTCAATATGATCCGAATTAGGCAAAGTGGTAAACATGAAAGTTTTATACCTATCTCTTAAATTTCTAATGGCTTAATAATCACATTAATTGGACTTCCTGAGTGAAAGATATGATCCAAATACCACATCATGTTCAGTCCATGCATACTACTACGGTGCTCCAAATTACACAAAAATTTTGACCATGATCCAATTAGAATTGGGCAAAGTAGTAAACATAAATATCGTAGCTCTTCCTCTCAACATTCTAGTGGTCTTAGAATCACCTCATTTGGAGTTCTTTATAGAGAGATAGGGCCAAAAAACTGAAATATATACAAATAAAGCCATCATCATGCTTCCACAGATTTTCATCAAATGAGCATTTTTCATCAAATTTCCTACAAAAGCAATTATAGAAATCAAAAATAACTACTGTTAAAGTAATTTAAAACACAACAACATGAAATTAATCTAAAATAATTTAAATTAACTACTCCAAATGTAATTAAATTTAAACTAAAAAAACACCTAAAATGCTAAAATCTAAGCCTCAAAATCTCAAAGAACTAGCTACTTAAACTCCTAAAATATTTCAAAATAACTTTATATAATAGAGTTATTAGTTGTTGAGATGGGGTTTCCATATCTATAAGGTAAACGTTAAGTTGTTCTTTTTGGTACCCATGGTTTATATGTAAAAATGTTAGTTTTGGATGTTTTTATACTATAGTAACTATTGTAAGTAAAGATATTACTTCTATTTGTATGTTGTTGTTTCTAGTATGTCTAAATCAACATATATTTTTTACACAAAGCATGAGTCAAGATAAGGAACATCTGAAGCGATATTTATGTAAGGTTAAGGTTTTATTTTTATTAATTTTCCAAAAAAAATAAAAGAATTTATACTATTATATTCTAATTAAGGTTAAGTAAACATACATAACACACTTACTCATGTATTTTTTTACTATCATTCCCATAAATATGAGAATGGGATTGCAGTTGTTTCTACCAGCCACTGATCTTCATTTACTTGTTATAATATCTACATAAAACACCACTTTTAAGTTGTTTCTACTGTTAGCAATTACAATTGTAGTAAATTTCAAGATAAAATGAAGTTAAACGTAAATAATAATGTAAAAGTATAATTATTAATATTTTAGTTTACCTTAAGTGTTAGATGTATCGATCATGTTTGTCAACATCATTCGTTCTAAAGTTCAAATGAACTTTTCCAATAGTGGTCATCAAAATTAGAGCTCTAATGAAATATGAGATTCAGAGTAACATCATAAAAATTAATGCTTTGAAAATGTTAGTATATCTTAATGTCATGATAATAACTCTAGTTTATAGAGTTATTTGGTCACAATTTTGAGTGATTTTGTTTAAGTTGTTAATATTTAAGTTAAGTATTAGGATATCTGCTTGAAAGAAAGAAAGAAAAGTTAAGTATTAGGAGATTTTATTCATTTAATTTCTTTAATTTAAGTGTATTGGGTTCAATGTGTTAAGTTATTTTATGATTTGATACTTTAAGTTTAGTTATTATTTAAGTTATTATGTTACTTTTGTAAGTGTGCTATGAAAAGGGTGACAATTTGTTAAGGAGATGCATTTTAGGCACCGACTTCAACTGCACGTGTTGATATTTATCACTGAGGAATTGTGAAGATACATGGGAATTGTGAAATACACCATTTGTGATGAGATTAGAAGCCCAATTAAGGTGAATCACCAATCTTGGCAAGGTTAGAAAACCCCACTAAGGTAAAGAATAGCCAAATTCTCACTTTTGGTTGGTCAGACCAAAGATACTAAAACCTTTTACTCTTTTTTAAAAAGTCTAGAGAAATAAGCCCTCTTACTTAAGAAAATAATCTTCTTTAGTTTTCAACTTCAATGTGTATGATAACTAAGCCTAAAGGCTCTATTTATAGTATTATAGGCCCAAGTCCTAATAAAACTCTACTTCTGATTACCTACTACAAATAGAGTAATTAACAAAAGATTTAAATTAAATAGTTGTTCTTTTCTTAAATAAAACATGTCTAGCCCAAAGTCTCAGCACAAGTAAATTAAATAACAAGGAGAATTCTATCATACCTATAATTCCTAAATAATAGTAATAAACTAATAATTTACTCTTGTATAATTCTTTTTAGGTTGGAGAAAAATCATCTTCAAGATCCATGTCTTCTTGATGTTCTTCATAGTAAGGAAAGAGATAAGCTATATTGAAAGTTGTAGAAACTTCATAATTTCCAGAAAATTCGATTTTGTAAGCATTCTCATTAATACGTTCCAAGACTCTAAATGGTCCATCAGCTCGAAGAGATTATTTTGCACAAGACTTAAGAAAACGTTTTTTCTTTAAGTGAATCCACACTAAATCTTCTCTTTTTAAAATTAGCTCGCTTTTTGTGCTTGTTGGCTTGCTTTTTTTACTTGTTGGCTTGTTTTTGGTAAATGTCAATTTGATGTATAGTCTTCTCTCGAACTTCTTCTTCTACTAAGAAGATAATTTTTTGATTTGGACAATTAGAAGTAATATGTCCAAATCCTTGACAATTGAAATACTTCTTGTTGATATTAGAAGCATGAGTAGAACTAGTCCCTTTATTATTATTCTTCAAAGTTTTGGACGAGTTTACCTTTTGAAGTGAAATAGTTATCGAACTTTGTCTCTCACAATTTGAAGTGGAATCTCTTTGTCTAGATGAACTCACTAAGTTTTTCTGTGATCATTGTTCGTCAACCTTTAATGCTCATTTGTTAACATTATTTAAGTTTCAATATGGATGTAGTTGAATAACATTTGTAATTTCAATATTAAGACCCCTAAGGTAATGAGTTTAGTGTCTCCTTTAATGTATTTAGTGTCTCTTTTGCCTACTCTGGGCCAAGATCCAGCCCATAACCAACAGCTCTTTCTCGATTTAAAGACAATAAAAAAAATAAAGAAAAAACCCTGAGCCTGAGGTTTTAGGCTTCTGGGTTTTGGGTACGACAGAAGGAAACATGGCGGCTAGTTGTGGAAGAAGAACCCTACAGTCCACTTGTGCTTCAGCCAAGACCATTTTGACCCATTCAACATCTTCAAGATCTGCTAATAATAAGCTGGCCGGCCTTTTCTCTTCTAAGCCAACCTCTGCATCGCGATTCTCTCTCCGCAATCTCATTTCTTCCAGGTTTGCTTCCATCTGAAAAGTTACAGCTTCATTTCTTTGTTATAGAATATTTTAGCAGTTTACTTATACTTTTTGTATTGGTTCTACTGATTATTTGAGAAATCCTGTATGGAAATTATTGCTGATTTGTTCTAAGTCTGAGTAAGAATTGTTTGATGCGGCTTATTTCAGGCTCCCAGTGGAATTGGGTGGTGCAGTAACTTTGATGCCATTGCATAGTGCTACTGCCTCTGCCTTGTTTACTTCATTGCTGTCTTTGCATAATCAAAGCTGGGGGTGTCTTTCAGAAGGTAATTATAATGACTGTCCTGTTCTTATATCTCTTCCTCTTATATTATAGTGGCTTGTGGCTTGTGGCTTGTGAGTTGCTTTATAGCAGCGTATTATTCTTGAAACTGTCTATTTTATTGCTGCAGCTTAATATTTATGCTTTTGCATTTTGATTGAGGGAAAAAATAACGAATGTATGTTCTCTTCTTCTGTTTTGAGACTGTAATTCATCCTTTGATGGGTAACTATAGAATGGTAGAATAATTTCTTTGCGTAGGTATATTTTGGCTTTTGAAGCTGCTGCATAGTTGTGGTACATTGCCGGGAGAAGCCATTTGGGCTGATCATTATTAAAAGTATTATTGTATGTAGCCCCTTCTTGTTATCTATTGTTTGGGGAGAAGACTTGGATTATAGGCCAATGTATGTTACATATATTTTATTTGTGAAACCGTGGCTGATTTGGGGGACAGTTAATTGTGGCCTGAGGACTCTGTGCTTAAAGCTGTCCTGTTCTCTAATTGAAATTGTTTATGATTGAGTTATGGTTGCTTTCTATAAAGCTCAATATATTTCTTTTTCACTTGTAAATTGTTTGAGTTGGAAAGTTAGGAAGGTAAAAGAGCATGGTTGATAAGATAGAAGAAATATCCATGAACCTTATGGCCTTATTTTGTAATATATCCTTTAAATGTACATTGGCCGTGCTGAATTTACAGAGTCAGATTGACTGCTAACTACTATGCTTCTTATCAGTTTTTCTTTGTGATTCCATGCATTTCAGAATCTATTTGACTTGGGATCCATGATATTCAGATAGTTTTAATTCTGTAGAGGCTGAAACCGCTATGTCAAAACCAATTTTATGGTTCACATTTAAGCAGTTAAACTCTACCTTTGATTGTTATTGTTATGACGAGTGAAATTGATCTGCAACTATTTTGTGCTACGAGTTGGCAAGCCTCCTTTGCTATATCCAAGTATCGGTGATCGCTATACTTCTAATAACTGGGTACTGTCATTGTAGTTATGAAACTACCCTAATATGTTTTGATGCTATTTTTTATTTTCTGTTAGCTGTCTTTGCTTCTCCTTAGGGAGCATCTAATATTGGGAGTTTATTAAACTCATGGTATTACATAATTTTTTTCCAAGTGTGTTGTGTTACATCATTATAGCTCTTCCAGATCCATATTTGGGCATCTTTTATTGGATAATTTCTTTGTGGTTTCTTAGCTTGCATTCCAGTTTGAGAATGAGGTTTCACAACACACCTTTTAATTCCTAGAGAAAGTTGGTTCTTTAAAAAAATGATATGAGACTCAAAATTGGGCAGTGGGAAACTGGAGCTAAGAGAAGATAAGTTCACTGCAAATTTTTTTCTCAGCAAACTTCAATAATGCTCATTTTCACACAAAGTCGATTTTGATGATTAAAAATGTTTTAGGAAAAAGTTTGGATTTGTAAAGATTTCAAAAACAACTTGCCGTTTCTCACCTCCAAAATTCAATTGAAGGGCTTAACACCCCTTGTTGCAAGTGGCAAATAAAGGTTGTTTTTGAACTATAATCATTTTTTGCTGCCAAAAGATTCCATTAGCTCTTTAACTTTCAAATTTTATTTGAAGTTGTCAACACCATGTAAAACAATTTTGCAGGAGTAGCTTTTGCATATATGTTACACTTTACAGCTCTTATTCAACTGAGACAAACCTTGTGTTCCATTTTTGTCGTGATTTTACATGCTTTTATATGCAAGCTACAACTTTATCAATTTTAGTTTTGAGCATTTAAAGTGGAATATAATGTTATTAAGTTAAAACTCTTGAGTAAACATTTTTTAGTATCTGATTACCGATCACACTATAGCTTATGCATGCCTTAGCATGAGTGCATGACTGCAGCGGGCCTCCTAGGCATTTACTGCGATGGGTCTTTATGTCTTGAGTTATTGATACATTTGTGTTGGCAGGCTTTGCAACACCTCTATAGCATTGCCTATGGGCTCCTGTTTTTGATGCTGCTCGGACCTTCATCTGCGGGAGATTTTGCTTTCTCCACATGTTTCGGATTGAGATTGAACATAATATTTGGCTTTGAAAAGGACTAGTCAAATGCCATCTCTTGCCACCTTGTTCTCTAAAACGGTTTTAGCCTAATATTAGTAGCATGTCATAAGATAATAATAACTGATATATTGAATAGCTGTGCAATTTGGATATTGTAATATGATTCGGTCATATTTGGAATTTGATGGTGTTACTTTGTTAATGGATTATAATTTTTATTGGTCAAAGTACTTTATAGGTCCTTGTATTAGGGGATTTTCGTCAATTTACTCTTTATCTTAAAATTGATTAATTTAGTCTTTATATTTTGAAATTTTATGTAATTAAATCATTTTCTTAAATGGCATCCAAATTGATGATTAATAATGTTGACGTGACATTGACGTAACTGTTCATAAGGTGATGATTTGGTGTTGATATGCTATTGTGGTAATGAAGATGTGGCATGTTTGAAAAATATTTTTGAAATTGTTATTATTTTTTTTTCACGTCAATTTTCTAGTGTTATGTTATAAGGATTAAATTGAACAAAAATGTAAAGTATTAAAATTAAATTAAATAAATGTATATAATTTACAGATTAAATTAAACAAAAATTTGTCATATAAGGATTAAATTAGATATTTTATCAATTTTTGTTTTAATTACTTTTATATTAAAAAATGTACTTTTACATCTTAGGGGTTATTTTTTAATAGTAAAGAGTATGTTTGTTTTAGTGTAAAACCTTTTTTGTAAAATATTTTCAGAATTTAAAGTTGTTTGTAAAATTGAAAATTAAATCAAAATGAAAAAAATTTTACGAGTCAATAGGAAAATACTTGTTGACTTTGTAAATTGGGCATAAGACAATTTCCTTATTTGCAAAAAATATTCCTTTTCCCCCTTTCCGTCCTGACTTGCCCTTCCTCTTCCTTGTCTCGACTTTCCCTTGCTCCCCCTTTCGTGTGTCAAACAAACTAAACCTCTTCCATTGTCAATCCCCACAAACCATGATTCCAGTCAAGCCTTTGCAGCCTCTTTTCTCTTTTTCATGGTCTCCATTCCAACCTTTAAGCCTCTCCTGCCAGCAAATCCTCTCATGCCCTTTTTCATCGCTAACGATAGCCTTCCATTTAAAGCAACTGAAGCTTTGCTTTTGACCAAAAAGAAAAACCTTGCTGGAAAAACCTAGCTAACCGTATTATTGAAACTGTTTGCAAATAGAAGGCTATCGATGAAAAAAGAAGAAGGGGATTTGTAGGCAGACGAGGTTTAAAGATGGGAATGGAGACCATGAAGTAGAAAAAGGAAGTTGTAAAAGTTTAGCTGGAATCATGGCTTACAAAAAATGTACAACCTAGTTATACTACTTTTTTGAAAGATTAATAAATATTCTCATTTCACTAAAAAATATTCTCATTTCGTTAGAGTAATCTTAGTACATCCAATAAAAAAACTGTAAGTTAACAAAAAATACTTTGTGGTTCGATGATAACCATTAAGATACCCAAAAGACAAAATGTACCTCACCAATCCTTTTAAGAGGCTTGTAAGCTTAGCTATAACAAAAATCAAGCCCTTGTACAATATTCACCCTTTTCCTAAATCATATAGATAAAACCATAACAAAAGATGCCATTGCTTTAACAAACTTAACCATGGCAGTCAACTAAAATTTTAATATCATAAATAAAAGTAAAGCAATGGCTGACCAATTGATATATAGACCCAAGACCCACAGACAAATCTTTATTTTCTAAAGGGTTAAGGTTTAGTTTGTCAAGCCATGTCAGTCATATCATAAATAAAAGTAGAGCAATGGCTAACGTGGTAGCAAACTAAACGCTAGACTTGACGGTGGAGAATGTTGGAGAATCAACAACTGATCAGTGAAGGATTAAAGCTTGCTTGCAAAAAGAATTGAAGAATTTAAAGATTGAATTGATTTGAAGAAGAATACAATCACATGGCCTGCACATGTCCATTGAAAATGATAACACGTGATCAGCACAATTGAAACTCGGTTTAGTTTTAAGTTAAACATATTTTTATTGTACAAATTTATCTTGAACTAACAGTAGTTCTTCTATTAAGAAAACAAATTTTTACTGTACAAATTTATCTTGAACTAATAGTAGTTTTTCTCGTAAGAAGTGCTAATTGTGTAACTAACTGGAAGTTAGTTATTTTACCCTTTTAAAGATTGTAACAGATTGTATATATACACCTTTGTAATTGATTGATCAACGAACGAATTCAACACAATTTCCCCAATGGTTTTCTCTTACTAGACATTATTCTTTCTCAATTCTTTTGTGGCAACAAAGCATCTAGGGTTTCTGGTGTGATATTTTCCAGATTTCCTCATGAAGGTTTTCTCAAATTGAAATTGAAATTTAAATATAGTTTTCTTTGTTGCGATATTAATCTCATAAATTTGATTTTAATTCTTGATTAGTCTTTCTTTGTTCTTGTAACATCAATGGTTAATTCTTTTAATCCAAGATCGACAAGAAAAATTGAAGAGGTTATAATCCAATAGTAGCCTTTGAGAAAAGCTAGGGAATTCTCATCCGTTGCTGTCACATCTCATTTTCTGGAAGGATCATGATCGGCGCATGGACCTAGACAAGCATAGCCCGTTAGGCTCAAGCAAGCCTCTTACCATAACATCATTAAACATTAATCATTACATGCGGAAGCGTCTTATAACATCCATTTACATACAAAATCATCATGCATGCATTTATAATACTTATTATGCAATTAGAGAACTTCTCAACTTAATTGTACAAGTTCAAGCATTTGACATATATATATATATATATATATATCAACAAGTGCCACTATCACAATGCACAATATCATTATCATCAACAACACCCTTGGGTGTTCATTAAGGCTCTGGAGTCATCATTATAATATCATACATAACGTTATCCTTGTAAAATGCCAATCATAGGCTATATTAACATAACATGTTTGTAATCCATAAACATAATCAAATCCATAAATATAAACATATGACTGACTCATCAGCGGAACGTGACCAACCCTCTAGGCATTAAATAGCTGCTAGACACCTACCAAAGAATGAAGACAGAACACTGATATCCGTGACACCATCTACAATCAAAATGCTATCAGTGATCTGCAACAAAATAAATGGGGAAAATAGCATGAGCCACAAAGACTCTGTGATTGGTTATGGAAAGAGGACAAGCTAGGGGATAAAAGTGTTTCGTAAACATGCACTTATAACCTCATGCCAACTATAATCAATTTAAACTTCAATCTCATGAAACTTGGTGTTTAAACATGTTTGAAATAGCATATATGATGTAAACAAGTGTCAACAACCATTGGAACACCTTTTTACCTTTGAAAAGCTTTCAAA